ACGTTTGGTGTAAACCCCTCCAAAAACAACTAAAAATGACCTCATCTGGCCGGGCCCGAGAACCTGGGTTTGGGCCAGATGTGGTCATTTGGGGTGTTTTTGGAGGGGACCCAAGAAAATATGCTGCCTGCGTTGCCCGCCCCTGGGCGCAGCCCCTTAAATAAGCTTTTAAGAGCATGTAGAAAACTCTAAACTCCCCAGCACAGACTCGCCAAACACCAAGTCTTAAGTCTTTTGGCGCCTAAAAAACAACGGTAAAGTGGTCGGGCATACGCTTGGCTCGCATCCTCCGTGCGCTGCGCGGATCTGGAGCTCGGCAAGGAGGGCTTGCGCACCTGTGGCTGTAAATAAAAGAAATTTGTTGAGGGAAGGGCTCGCTCACATCAGCATTCATCGAAAATCCTTAGGATCCAATGCCAAATGATCTGGCGGGATCCTATCGCTTTTGGGGGCTGTTGCCACTGTGTGAGGACGAAGGCATCGTTTCGCTTCGTGTTTTGCTCTATGTGATGCAGAAAGCTTAGCTATTCATCAAGATTGAGGTGTATTGCTGTCGGGGATGGGGAATGCAGTGAAAAATGTCCCTTAGCCTTAGCAAGTTTTGACAACTCACGAGGCTGGTAGCTGAGTATGCGGCAAAGTCTGGCTTGCAGTGGCCCAAGCGAGGCTGCAAATAGTACCTCGTCAGCATGACATGCGTTGTCATGCGCTGGGATGCGCCGGGTGTTTCGAAGTCGACTGGCAAAACTGGCAACATCTGGACTGCGCAGGACTGAAGACGTGCACGGGTCAAGGTCCAGGGTGACAGCAGCTGGCTGAAGGCCTTCTCTGAGAGAGTATCGGTCATACACTCTTATGACTCGTATGACTTTTTCTCTCATGGCTCTCAGGCCTTCCAGCGGGATCCTTGCCACCCTGTCACGAACATCAATTATCGCCGACCTACGCAAAAAGATGCTTTCAAAGCCCCAGACGTTGTGGACCCGCTTCCCCGCACCGAGAGCCTCAGACAGGGACCCGGAGCAAGGGAGCAAACGGACTCCATACATCCTGTAGGAACTGGCTCCGCAGTCAGCTTGCTGCCGCCGAGCCCTCTTTACGGAAGGCTGCAGACAGCTCTGCTCCACTCTGCTCCGCACTCGCCTGAGGTGGTGAAGGCGGCCATCAGAGCACCGTGACCTGAGCTTCTAAAGCCTTGCTACCCAAGGCAGCCTCTTTCACTCGAAACTCACCAGGAGGCCTTCCTCGGGAAGGCCGAACCGGGACCAGCGCGCCTCAATTGCAACATCTTCAACTTGCAATTTTTTCTGGCAGTACATCATCATGTTCTGGGTGTTGTCCCAGGGACGCTGAGGTGCGCGGAGTATGCGCAGAGAGGTCGAAGCCCGCGCACTGTGGCTGAGGTCTCCGTGGTGCAGAGGACAGCCACAGGAGACGCGGGCTCGCCGCCGGAGACGGACAGCGTGTACCTCACAGAAACTTTAAGCGAGAGACACTGAGACGCAGCATTCGATATTCATTCGATGCTAACGTTGCCATGTGTTTCCACGTAGGTGGCCACTGCCTTTAGCTAACTTTCGTCTGAGCGGCTCGATCGGGAGCCGACGGAAGCCGGGGAGCTGGGCCTCAGCGAAAACAGGGACACTTTCTGAAGACTCAGAGCGAAGATCTCTGAGCTGAGCTGAGCTCAGGGCCTGGAGATCCGCATCGGGCCGGAAAGGTGCCCAGCTGAGCTCCGCCGTGTCGCCCTGATGGCTAATCGATCCCCTCACCCCACCAACCGCGTTTAGGCCGCCAGGCCTGCTCCACCACCCGCAGACCTCCGCCTGACAGGAATCTGCAGCATTCTGGAGGGTGCGGAGGGCACGCATACGTGCCGCATGAAGTGTGGCATACCTTCAGATGGCACCGGTGGGGTCAAGGCAAAACGGACGGGATGGGAAGCCTGCGACCTTGGCAATTGGAGCTTGTTTCCAGCGTGCTGCCGTAGTCTTTTCTGGGATTCTGGCCAGGTCCCCATGCGGCAGTCGTCCCCCACGCGCACTTGAAACTCGTAGACGAAGCCCAGCTCCAGCCTAGGCCAAGTGGGGGAGAAGCTAAAGCGAAAGAGCTTTCGGCAGACTAAGCTCGCTACCCATCCTCCTCCCGGACCACCAGAAGCACTTCCTTCAGATTGCGATGCAACGCGACAAAACGCAAAAGGAAACTCCTTTCATGAAAGGAGTCACCGCGTCTGAGGTAGAGTGCCTCCGAAGAATCTCGAAGCCCTTCTGCGGGGAGTTCCTCCAAAGCCCAGAAACCCCCCTCGTGTGTCAGAAAAGTGCGCCTCACCTCCCAGGAGGAAGCTTCGTGTCCTGAATCTCATCAGAAAAAGTAGCAAACAGCAGTCTTTCAGTTTCGGGCTGCCCGGCCGATCCGCCGGAAACGGAGCTGCAAGAGAGCTGCCAGCCTTCGCGAAGCTTAGCGAAAAGTCTTCAGGCCTTTGAAAATTCTGATAAAAGCTTCATGTCTCGTCATGTTGCCTGGAGGTAGAACGGTCGCCTCAGGGATGCTTCAGTTGCCCCTCAGCTCTCGATCCAAATCTACCCTTCTGCGATTGAGTGCAAGGCTCAGCGGGATACGGAGACGGATGCCCAAAGTCTTTGGGATCGCGCCAAGGGCCACCATTTCCCCCCGGCAAGGCTCCAGGCGCTCGTAGCAAGCTACCAACGGCCTACATGCGCACGCTCTGCGCATGCTCGGTGCACTATGAAAGCATACGCCTCGTGGCGGGTCCTGCTTCCAGGCTCCGCGGATCAAAGAGCCGGAACCTAAGACTTTATTATTGAGAAATCGCATATTTTTTGTGGATTTTTGGGTTTAGGGCCTGCCAGCTGCAAAGGGCAGGGAGCGCACGGCCACGCAGACCTGGCCGTCCAGGGAGAACCTGCAGAGACATTTCACTTCCTTCACAAGCATCTTAACATCTTCTAGCGCTGCTCTGCGCAACATACCTTTTGGCTGGCCAACAGGCTTTGGTAAAACAAAAAAAAGCTGGCTGTCGGGGATGCAGAGTTCTTGCGTGTCCGCTAACCCTGCATATGACTATATATCCCGGTGTCGGGCCGCTGCTTTCACCGCTTGGCCATCTAATTTACCATTTCAACATTAGTGGCTTCAATTGTACTGGATTCCAAAGGAGCTGAATTTTTCCATCTGCGGCTGCCACTGCGCTTGTGTTCTTGCATACCTCTTCGACACTCGGATAGCCTGATAGCCCTGCATGTCGGCTCTCGGGATGGCTGGATTCTGAATCTTTAGTGCTGGATTTGGCTGTTTGCGACAGCAACAGCCAGCAACAGCAATTCACTTGGGTCCCGGGCGGGGCTGTGACCACGGGGCAGGGGAACCAGTCTCCTCAGAAGGACTCAGAGCAGATTCCAAGTCTGCTTTGGGGCTAAGGGGCAAGCCCTTGGACAGCGGTGCTGCCTGGACCTGGCTGGACACTGGCTTCAAACCCAAAAATGCTGATGCTGGCTGAAGCCCTCGTGGCCTCGTAAGGCTTATTCACAGAGTCCCAGCCATCCTTCCGAGCCAGGCCTCAAGAGTCTGGAAATCCGGAAATCTTTTGGCGCCTTCTTTGGGACGTTGCTGGCTTGCCGCGGGTTGCCAGCTTCGGGAACAAGGCCCGGCCAAGACAGTAGTACCTTGTCTACTTGTATCGTAGGAGGCTCGCTGAGTGTTTTGCCTCTTTGAATCCCAGCACCGCGCAAGGCGGCTCTCGTCTTGCAGCCAGCGCTGCATCTTCTCCTGGTTTTCCTCTGAGCATGGCACCTAGGAGTTGGTTTTTCTCGGACAAAGGACCTAGGCCACCCATCATGCCATGCCCACACCTGGCTCGGGACAGGTAAAGAGTCAAATTCAGCCTCAGCAAAGTCGAAAACGCCACTTCGGAAGTCTTCCCTTTTGCAGTTCGGCCTCCACTGTCTTCCTCGAGATCTTTCCCACCTGTCAGCTGGGCCCTCGAGCTTGCAGATGCTTGCAGATGCTTCTGGGCACCTCGTAGATCTTGTGAAAGGTGCGAGGCCCCACGGTGGGGTAGCGAGCCAACACCTACCATGTGCTTTCATGCCAAAGCATTTTCAAGCCAAGCCTCTTTTCTGCTCCCTATGTGAACCTGGAAGGCGTATTGAAGATCTGGGCAGAGCTCCGTCAGCCTGCGACGAACTTGCCAAACCTTCCGGGGGCCTGGTGTTCTGATATCTCGAATTGTTCAGGTCATGGCTCTAGGACGACACGTGCTTCAGGAGCGTCCTCTTCTCCTGGAGACAAGAAAAAATGATCAACAGCATAATCAAGCAGAGCCATGGGGCACTCTGATGCTTTTTTGTTGCCATTCAATGGGTGCGGAATTTATTTTGGGATTTGTTTGGTAATTTTTTGTTTTTGTGTTTTTTCTGAACAATTACAGGGGTTGCGGGGGTTGGGGTTCCAAAAGTGTCAACAGACACAGGGATTGTGGGGGTTGGGGTTGCAATCCTCGTAACTATCATAGTTGTTTGACCCACGGATCCTATTTGAGTCTTAACAAAATGGGGTCGGGGGAGTTTTCAACGTGGTGGAAACATGATGAAACTCGCTGACAGATCATGAAGATGATGAAAAGAATGAAAACCCACTACAAACCATGAAAAAAGATGAAACAACATGACAATGACGGAACATGATGAAGCATGATGAAACATGATGAAATTCAATAAAAAAAATATGGATAATCATGAAAAACAATGAAATTGATGATACATGATGAAAATTATAAAAATGATGGACAATTGATGGACAATGGAAAATCATGAAAAATGATGGGAAAATGAAAAATCATGAAATACCAGGAAAACAATGACAAACATGACAAACCATGAAAACTCATGAAGACCAATTAAACAACGATGAACAAATGGAAACTCATGAACATGATGAAAGCTATGAAAGATGATAGAAAATGATGAAAGATCATAGAAATTGATGTAAAACGCTGGAAAAGATGTTGAAATTGAAAATGGTGAAAAATATGAAAACCATGAGCATGATGAGAAAATGATGAAAATCATGACAATGAAGCATGGATGACATTACAAAAAAGGGCGGGAGGGTCGGGGGGGCTGCACCCCCCCCCATCTGCAAACAAAATGATGTGCATAACTCTGCCTTACAGCAAACTTGGAGGGCCTCAAAAAGAAAAGGGGGTGTTTGGGGAGGCGCATCCCCGCTTACTTGCGAACAAAATGATGCGCATACTGGCTCCTGACTGCAAACACAGCCACGGCACTGTTCTTATGATGGAAACTGACGAAAGTCGGTGACTTTGATGAGACACGATAATGTATAATCAAAAAGCATGTAGATTAGGAGAGCTGATATTGACAAGTGATGAAATGATGAAAGTATGAACAAATATTGCACCTGGTGAAAACGAATGAAGATGATGAACCGAAACATGATCAGAAATGATCAAACATGATGAAACATCATGGAGAGTCATGACATGATGTAAAACGCTGAAGAATAGCAAGCGTGGAAGACCTTAACAAAGGCGGAGGGGGGGGTGAAATAACTATGGCAGTCCAGTCCGGCTGCTTTGCTATCAGTCCATGTACAGTTCAGGTGACACAACTGCATTGCATGTTGCTGTTGCCGCTCTCAAGGTTCTAGGATTTAATACTCGA